GACCCCACATACTCAGGGCACAGACACACACCCCAGCATTCTGGATAAGGAGTCACTGATGCCGGCTGGCAATAGCCCTTAGTAACCTGGCCACACCAGGAGGCAGGGAGTCAAGGAACAGGGCAAGCACAGGCCTTCCCCATGGTACAGCTCCGCCCCACACACACCAAGGGGGTGAGCCAAGGGAAGGAGCAGCACAGCAGCAGGAGAAACCACAGAGAGAGGTGGGGGGCTCTGAGCAGGGGCTGACAGTCTATGGGGCCATGGAGAAGCCCCGGGAAGACTAGTGGGCGGGGGGAACTGGGTGTCTGAACCACCACATCTCAGCAACTCTGGGGTACAGCTAGGGGCATCTACCAAGTCTTCCCCTGATCATGGGCCCAGCACCAGCACACCTACTAGATTATGAACTCACCTGCACCTGGGATTGTTTGGATCAAGCTGGAAGAGCCATTTATGTATAGAGAGCCCCTCCCATGGGCCGGGTTGTGTCAGGCAGGGTATAAGTGGTGCAGTACACAAAGGAAGGATCTGGAGTATGCTGGAGCTGTCAGTCAGGTCGTGTTGTAGATTTCAGGTTCAAGCTTTTAGCGCAGGGGTGGCCAACCTGAGCCAGAGAAGGAGCCAGAATTTACCAATGTACATTGCCAAAAAGCCACAGTAATATGTCAGCAGCCCCCCATCAGCTCCCCTCCCCCCCGTTCCCAGCACCTCCCACCCACCGGCAGCCCCGCTGATCAGTGCCTCCCCTTCCCTCCCTTCCCTCCCCCCAATCAGCTGTTTTGTGGCGTGCAGGAGGCTCAGGGGGGTGAGGAGTGAGGGCACTGCAGGCTCAGGGGAGGGGGCGGGAGGGGTGGAGTGGGGGCAGGGCCTATGGCAGAGCCAGGGGTTGAGCAGTGAGCATCCTCCGTCTAGCACATTGGAAAGTTGGCATCTGTAGCTCCAGCCCTGGAATCAGTGACTATACGAGGAGCCACATATTAACTTATTGGCTACCCGTGGCTCAAGAGCCATAGGTTGGCTACCCCTGTTCTAGCGTACAAGTTTCAGGAATGGCACGAACTGGCTCGCAGAGCCTGAGTGGTGAGAAATCGAGTTTTGCAGGGAAACTCAGAAACATTCCCTCCTCTGCCCCTTTGGGCAGTTTCTTCAGTGGCTTGTCTCGCATGTCTTTTCCAGAGCCCTTTTGGGAGAAATTGAAACTGCTCTGGGATCTGCACTTGGCAACTCCCCCCCCCCAAATCAAAAATACACAGCCAGTATCACACACACACACAAATATTCAAAAATCCTGTGCCTGTCCTACACACACGCACACACCATGACCTTGAAAAAATAATCCATGCTGGGTTGTGTTTACCTTGGAGCATGTGATTACTCTGGAGAGGCGATTTCAATAATACACTGAGCCACCACATGCAATGAGGCATAAACTGACCGTTCTTGTAGCTCAGTAGCCCCTTCCCTGAACTGACACGAATGAATCTAGCTGTTCAGATTTTACCTCTTTTAGCTGCTGTTTATATCTCCCGGTCCACTTGGCAAATATTATAGAGCGTGCAGCAGGCCGCTATGACCACAGGAATATTTTCTTAATTTAGGTCTAACCTGTCATATAGGCAGCACCAGCGCGCTTTTAATCTGCCAAAGGCACATTCTATGGTCAGTCTGCATCTGCTCAACTTATTGTTGAAGCTCTCCTTGCTTCTGTCCAGGTTTCCCGTGTAAGGCTTCATGAGCCACAGGACCAAGGGTCTCCCAGGATCACTATAGGTATTTCAATATTCCCCGCTGGACTCTTCTGCTTTGGAAAGAAAGCCCCTGCTTGGAGCTTTTTGTACAGGCCAGTGTTCCTGAAGATGTGTGCATCATGCACCTTCCCAAACCACCCTGTGTTGATGTCAGTGAAATGCCCATAGTGAGCTACAAGAGCCTGCAATACCATAGAGAAGTATTCCTTTCTATTGATGTACTCCATTGCAAGATGGTCTGTAGGACAAAATTGAACATGCGTGCAATCTATCACCCCGTCATAGTTAGGGAATCCCATTTCATAAAATCATAGAATCATAGGACTGGAAGGGAACTCAAGAGCTGATCTAGTCCAGTCCCCTGCACTCATGGCAGGACTAAGTATTATCTAGACCTTCTGCAAAGCCATCCAATATGTCAAGCACATTACCAAGAGTCACAGTCCTTCGTAGCAAGATGCAATTAATGGCCCTGCACACTTGTGTTACCGCAGCCCCAATGGTCGACTTCCCAACGCTGAACTGATTCGTGACCAACCAATATCAGTCTGGAGTTGCCAGCTTCCACACAGCGATCACCATGTGCTTCTCCACCGAAAGGGCAGGTGGCATAGCTCAAAGGAAAGGGCTTGAGTGCCTGAAAGGCTGGTGGTGTTAGGGGGCTGACACCCACCTACCACAGGCAAGACTCCCTCTCACTGGGTGGTGGGAGGGGGGTAACAGGATGACTCAGACTCCTGGATACCCCAAGAACTGCCACAGCAGGGTTCCTGGGAGGCAGGGACACAATTCCCAGTGGGGGGGGAGGAGTTCTCAGGGGAAGTAGGTAGGGTTCCCAGGGGCACGGTTCCTGGGGGAGTGTCAGGGCCCATAATGTCAGCAGTCTGACCTAGGGGCTGGAGCCCAGAGTAGAGTCAGGGTCATAGTCAGGAGTCACGCCAAGGGTCCCAGCCGGTCAGTAACTGGCGGTGGGGTGAGGAAGCAGGGACAAGGAGCCAATCCAGAAGGCAGGGGTCTGCTCAGCCCAGCAGCAGCTGCTCAGAGGAGAGATTTGGCAGGAGCAGGATGCCATATACCCAGAGGGTCTGTGGCAAGTCAGCAGCATCTGCTGAGTCAGTGGGAGCAGGCCCTGTCTGCGGGGGATCAGCCGCAGTTTCCATGCTGGGCCTTGCCGTGGGTGGCACGGGCTTGAGAGCTGCAGGGCCTGATCAGGAACGGGTGGGGTTTCTGCAGGGTGGGGCTCCTGCAAGAACAGTTCTCGGGCAGAGGGGGGCTCAGGGGGCTCCCAGGATGCGATTCCCAGAGGCCAGGCAGCAGGGTTCAGGGGCCGGGCGGTGAGGGGGTTCCCAGGGGTTGGGTTTGTGGGGAGGAGTGTGGGGGTAGGATTCCCAGAGGCCAGCAGCAGGGCTGGGGAGAGGTGAAGGGGCTCCCAGAGGTGGGGTTTGGGGGGTGGGATTCCCAGAGGCCAGCAGGGCGGGGGGGGGGAAGGTGAGGGTGCTCCCGAGGAGTGGGGTTTGTGGGGA